GTAATCCCAGCTACTTGGGAGACTGAGACAAGAGAACTGCTTGAACCCCCGAGGAGGAGATGGCAGTGAACCGAGATCGTGCCACTGCACTCCAGCACTCCAGGCTGGGTGACAGACCAAGACTTCGTCTCAAAAAAAAAAAAAAAAAATTAGCCAGGTGTGGTGGCAAGTGCCTGTAATCCTAGCTACTCGGGAGGCCTGCAAAGGCCAAGATCATGCCATTGCACTCCAGCCTGGGTGACATAGCAAGACCCTGTCTCAAAAAAATAAAAACAGGCCGGGTGCAGTGGCTCACACCTGTTATCCCAGCACTTTGGGAGGCTGAGGTGGGCAGATCACCTGAGGTTGGGAGTTCGAGACCAGCGTGACCATCATGGAGAAATCCCGTTTCTACTAAAAATACAAAATTAGCTGGGTGTGGTGGCACATGTCTGTAATCCCAGCTACTCGGGAGGCTGAGGCAGGAGAATTGCTTCAACCCATGAGGCAGAGGTTAAGGTGAGCTGAGATGGTGCCATTGCACTCCAGCCTGGGTAACAAGAGCGAAACTCCATCACAAAAAAAAACACAAAAAAACCCCAAAACTTTGGGAGTGATGGTTTGATGGGTGTTTATCAAAACCCAACTAAGTGCACATATTAATGTATAGTTTTAGTGTATGTGCTGCCAAAGTGAGCACAATATATACAGTTTTATTGTGTGCTCATTAAATGTACCTCAATCATGATGTTAAAAAAAAAAAGCTGAGAGCGGTGGCTCACACCTATAATCCCAGCATTTTGGGAGGCCGAGGCGGGTGGATCACGAGGTCAAGAGATCAAGACCATCCTGGTCAACATGGTGAAACTCCGTCTCTACTAAAAACACAAAAAATTAGCTGGACATGGTGGCGCGTGACTGTAGTCCCAGCTACTCAGGAGGCTGAGGCAGAATTGCTTGAACCCAGGAGGCGGAGGTTGCAGTGAGCCGAGATGGCGCCACTGCACTGCAGCCTGGGTAACAAGCGTGAAACTCCGTCTCAAAAAGAAAAAAAAAGAAAAAAAACAAGCTGGGTGCAGTAATCCTGTAATCCCACCACTTTGGAGGCCAAGGCAGGCGGATGACCCAGGAGTTCGAGACCAGCCTGGCCAGCATGGTGAAACTCCGTCTCTACTAAAAATACAAAAAATTAGCCAAGCATGGTGGCGTGTGCCTGTAATCCCACCTACTTAGGAGGCTAAGGCAGGAGAACCGCTTGAACCTGAGAGGTGGAGGTTGCAGTGAGCCAAGATCGCACCACTGAATTCCAGCCTTGGCAAAAGAGCAAGACTCCGTCTCAAAACACACACACACACACACACACACACACACACCCACCCCAAGGAATGTCTATGCAAGGAAGCTATCATAATCAGACTTTTTCATAACTGTAAGAACTTTGTTGGCCAGGCACAGTGGCTCACACCTGTAATCCCAGCACTTTGGGAGGGTGAGCCAGGTGGATTACCTGAGGTCAGGCAGGAGCTTGAGACCAGCCTGACCAATATGGTGAAACCCTGTCTCTATTAAAAATACAAAAATTAGCTGGGCATGGTGGCAGGTGTCTATAGTTCCAGCTACTCAGAAGACTGAGACAGGAGAATCACTTGAACCTGGGAGGTGGAGGTTGCAGTGAGCAGAGATCACACCACTGCACTCCAGCCTGGGCGGCAGGGTGAGACCCTGTCTCAAAAAAAAAAAAAAAAAAAAAAAAGAAGAGCTTTGTCCTCTTTAAAGCAGCTAATGCCCTGTGCAACAATGCAGCCCTGGTTGCTCTAAGAGTCCATATCCTGCGGCCCCCTGAGGCCATTTATCCGGCCCCCCGCCGCACTTCAAGAAGGGGCACCTCTTTCATTGGTGGTCAGTGAGAGGAGCACAGTATGTGGCGGCCCTCCAACGGTCTGAGGGACAGTGAACTGGCCCCCTGTGTAAAAAGATTGGGGACACCTGATTTATATTATCTACAACTGCTAGGTACTATGCTAAGTATGTTATAAAGAGATAAGATTTTTTTTTTTTTCCCCCAAAGACGGGGTTTCACCATGTTGGTCGGGCTAGTCTTGAACTCCCAATCTCAGGTGATCCGCCCACCTTGGCCTCCAATGTGCTTGGATTACAGACGCGAGCCACTATGCCCGGCCCAAGAGATAAGATTTCTTAGAGAAAAATTAACTGGAGCAAAATTTTAGGGTTAAAATGGAAATCAAGCCAAAATCAAATAAATCAGTATACATAAAAACCAGTGAACTCAATTTCTTTTTTTGAACTCAATTTCTGTCACCTAGGCTGGATGGAGTGCATTGGCACAATCTCAGCTTACTGCAACCTCCGCCTCCCAGGTTCAAGTGATTCTCTTGCCTCAGCTTCCCAAGTAGCTGAGATTACAGGTGCCCGCCACCATAACCAGCTGATTTTTATATTTAGAGATGGGGTTTCACCATGTCTCCAAACTGGTCTCCAACTTCTGACCTCAGGTGATCCATCCACCTCGGCCTCCCAAAGGGCTGGAATGACAGGCATGATTCACTGCGCCAGACTTCAATTTATTATAACAGCTTTATATTTATTTTGCAATCGAAGATAACAAATGCTGCAGAAAGAGAATGTGATTCATACACAAATTTTTTAAAACTAAGGTTTTTTGAACTGCTCAAAGTCATACACAGCTCAAGTGCTGGGCAGAGCGGGTGGCCCATGACTGCAATCCCACCGCTTTGGGAGGCTAAGGCTGAAGAATGGTTTGAGGCCAGGAGGTCTAAATAAACAACATAGTGAGGCCTCATTTAAAAAAAATACAAAAATTAACTGGGCATGGTGGCATGTGCCTGTAGTCCCAAAGACTTGGGAGCCTAAAATGGGAGGATTGCTTGAACCCAGGAGGTTGAGGCTACAGTGAACTGTGATCATGCCACCGCAATCCAGCAAAATTTCAAAAAGAGAAAAGGTCACACAGCTCAAATCGAGGCACTAATTTTTTATTTTTATTTTGAGACAGGGTTTCACTCTGTTGCCCAGGCTGGAGTATAGTGCTGCAAATCTCGGCTCACTGCAACCTCTGCCTCTCTAGCTCAAGCCAGTTGCTTACCTCAGCCTCCCGAGGAGCTGAGACCACAGGTGTGCACTACCATGTCCGGCTAACTTTTCACATTTTTGGGTTGTTCTGTAGAGACACAGTCTCACTATGTTGCCCAGGTTGGTCTCGAATTCCTGGACTCAAGAGATCCAACCACCTTAGCCTCCCAAAGTGGTGGGATTACAGACATGAGCCACCACATCTGGCCAGAGAAGCTAATTCTTGTTCAGAAAGGTTTTCTGACTCCAAATCTAACGTTATATCCATTCTATCAGGTTGCTTCTCATATGTTTTGTTTTGTCTTTTTTTTTTTTTTGAGACGGAGTTTCCCTCTTGTTACCCAGGCTGGAATGCAATGGCGTGATCTCGGCTCACCGCAACCTCCGCCTCCTGGGTTCAGGCAATTCTCCTGCCTCAGCCTCCTGAGCAGCTGGGATTACAGGCACGCACCACCATGCCCAGCTAATGTTTTGTATTTTTAGTAGAGACGGGGTTTCACCATGTTGACCAGGATGGTCTCGATCTCTTGACCTCGTGATCCACCCGCCTCGGCCTCCCAAAGTGCTGGGATTACAGGCTTGAGCCACCGCGCCCGGCTTGCTTCTCATATGCTAATTAACTTTAAAGGAAAAAAAAAAAAGTACACAGTATACCAATATATCTACTTTTAAATATATATTCACTGAACATAAATGTTCTTCTGATAGGTTTATCAAAACAATCAGCTTCATTAGCCAAACCTCACTGTGAGTCTTCTATATCTTTGGCATGTACAATGTATACTTAAAAGTATTAAAAACCAGACTAATATATACTATCTAATTCACTGTGGAAAAACGGTTCTAAAAAGAAAAGTTTTTCATACGCAGCTGTTTCTTTCAGTCATTTTGGCTGCCAAGTCTATACAAATTTTGTGTTATAAACTGTTTTTCACAATCTGCCTTTTCCCCTCCAAATGAAATGCTTGATTTCCAGAAACGCTCATTGAGTGCTAATGCAGGGTAGGGACCACTTAACACACACACTAAAACTTTCACTTAAGTTTACAAGCCTCTACAAATGAACTTCTTTGAACCAAGTTTTCACTTGGTTTCACAGAAGAGTGGTGCAAGTAGCTGAAAACGGATGATGCGTGTGGTCTCAGGCCACGAGGGTCGATGTTCCCTCTCCAGTGTGGGCAACCCTAAGTGTCACGGCTGCAGGGACCCGGAAAGAAAAATCACAGGATCCTAGAAACCGCATCTTTATCCGTACAGGATACAGCCACGAGGATGCCCACCTCTAAAGTCGTGCCAACGGGCTACATTTTAAGTAGCTAACACTTCCAAGTAAAAACAAGCCTAAATCTGTTCATGACGCCATTTTCTGCCCGTGACGTCAGGGGGAGGCGCCGTGCAGCTGCGTCACGCATTAGTGACGTCTGATGGGGGAACAGGGTTTCGGGGTTTCTCACCAGTTCCGGGTCCCCGCAGCGATGTCCCGGTTCTCTCCGTTCCTTTGGATATGTTGCGGGGAGTGAAGCTCGTATATTTTCTAGAGTCTAGGCAAGAAAATCAGCAGGGCAGATACAGCTACTCCTCTTCCAGCAAAATGGCGGCAACTCCACGGTCTTCCAGAACCTTCCCCAATCTGCGCATGCGCCAAAACACCCCGGCGTTGGCAGTAACCTCACTGGTTTCGCGGCAACCGTCCGAAGTACAGGTTCTCATTGGCTAAAGCCCTAAGTACGGGTGGAGCAAACTCAAACGCGTCTTAGCAACCACCGAATTCCCGTTGATTGGCTAACCTCAGACTTCAGGAAAGGGAAGCGTCCTTTGGTAGCCGCCCATCACTCATTGGTTAAATGACTTGCGGAGGGCGGGGAAAACGGGATGGGGAACGGGAGTGTTAAGAAGCCACCGACCGCACTCTCCCGGCGCTAGTGCAGACTAGACCAATGCGATGGGCGTAGCCAACGAAGAAGGACAATTGGCATCCTTGACTACCCCTGCTCTCATTTGCCGAAGAAGTCACGTCGGTCTTCCCGGTTAAACTTTGTAGAGAATAGCGGCGTTTGCTTCACGTTCAGATCCTAAACTCCAGATCCCCGTTCAGAGCTGGCTACCTACAAACCCTCCCGACCACCTCTCCTGAGCTGGGTGCTTGGGACCTAGGAAAAGCAGGTCTTGCCACAGACTTGTCTTCGTCCACACTCTGCCCTATCGTCAAGGCCTGGTCCCACAGGTCACAACTTCCGTTCAAATCAGTGCCCCCCACCCACCCCCAATTTCCCACTGCAAGGGTAAATTTGAAAGTTTTTCAGGCGATTCCTTGGATGTAGCAGTACTCTGAGCTCTCTCACTGGAAAGAAGGAACTGATGTCCACCCCCACCTTCGAAGGTCCTCTAGGAGCCCCTAGACACTTCAGTGGTCTACTGTAGCTACTAAAAATGTAGCTGGTTGTAACACGGGGAGAGCCAGAGTCCGAGGACCTGATTTCCAATTCTGACTTGGCTAACATCACATCACTACCCATTTCAAATTCTCCCTCTGTAAAATGGAAAATTGGATTAGATCTCTTAGGACTTCAAACAGTAACTGTGGTTTTATTTAAAAAAAAAAATAATAATAAATAGGTAGCTTCTTGCTGGAGATTCCTGGATGGATCCCAGTCTTCCCAAGAGGTAACAAAGGAGAGGTAACCAGTTGCCAGTGCAGTAGCTCAAGAATACAGAAGAGAAACTGGCTTCATTCCCTATTCCATCTTTCTCCAAGGTGGCAAACTCTATGCCTCCTCCCGAGAGAAAAGCCTAACCACAGGTTCTAATGGACAAGAGCTTACTGTAGCTAGTCAGAAAGGCCTATATTCAGGAGTCCAAGAGTAATTGCTCAGTTTCCTAAGTAGAGAATACGGCTAGTCCCCTTTGGGTCTTGGATAGGTTAAGAGCACAGATTTGAACATGCCTGGGCCTAAGTGAGGTGTGGGAAAATAGCAGCAGGGGGCAGCAGCGTAGTGCAGGAAAGGGCTATAACTTTATTTCTATTTCCTCTTACACAAAACCATCGAAACAAGAACAGAGAAGGGCTGAAATTCTGTTCAAATCCCATGTTCTCAGGGATATTCCAGGGAGCTCTCGAGGCTGTGCGTAGCTTCAAATCCAACACTAATTCCTCACCCCCTGGCCTGAGGTCTTCAGATTGGTGGCTTGAGCCCTGCAATTAATTATAATCCCTTGCCCACCTTGATGTAAGGCAGGAAAGCAGATTGAAACGCTTCTCTCTGACGGGCAAGGGGAATCACAGCCCATAGCTGTACTGCACCTTCTGTGCTACAGGAGCAGAACCTGAAGCTGCTTCCAAGGCTCTGGACACTTGCACGGAGGGCTAGAGGCCAATGGTATACGAGCGGCCTGTGGGGTTGTGAATAGCAGAACAAACTGGTGCTGTCACAGCCCACTCATACCACACCTTCTTGGAACTGCTGCATCGCCAGAAACGCACACAGATGGTCTGGCCTTCACGTACCGTTATGGGCTGCTGTAAGAAGAAAGACAGGGAGGGTCAGGGTGGAGCTAATAAATATGTGGCAATGTATTAAGGTAGGTGTGAAGATAAAATGATAAACATGACAGACTGTCCCAACCCTCATGAAAGTTATTTGAAGTTTATCAGAATACTGAACAATAAGACACTGAACAAATAATCAAAAGTGTGGTGAGTGCTGGAACACGTACACAGTGCTAGAAAAACACCTATGAAAGGGAACACTAACCTAGTCTAGGAAGTCAGAGAAAGTTTATCTTACAATAGAAATGTTTAAAGGAGACCTAGAAGATAGTTAATTGTGTGAAGAGACAAGCAAAGAACTTTACAGACAAAAGAAAGGCATGAAAGCCTGAGGTAGGAAAGATCAGCTATTAGAAGAACCAAAAGAAGGTCCATAAGGCTGAAGCAATGTAAGCAAGGGGACAGTAGCTGCAAAGGCAGGCAAATAGTAGATCACATCAAGTCTTACAATCACTGTTCCGGACTTTTACTTTTATCCTAAAGACAATGGGAAGGCAATGAAGGGTTTTAAGCAAAAAAGAGCATTACGATCAAATTTGAGTTTTTAAAAGATGACTCTTGCTCAAAGTAAAGAAGAGATAGAAGAGTAGCCGGAGTAGATGCGGAGAAGCCAGGCAGAATGCCACTCCAAATAATCCCAACAATTATCGCTGGGATCCAAGAGCATATGAAATCAGAAGAACATGAGTCATAGTCAACTATCTTCCTGGGAGAAGGAAAGAAGCACAACACCAAAGGCAAAAGTTACTCCTTAACCTACAGAGTCTTAAAAGCAGTTCCTACCTTAATAGGGAAGAGGATAGGAAACCATGAGAACATCCCAGGAGAGTGAGTCTCTGGACGGATACCTGTGTGGACAAAACAATGAAAAAATAGAGGTCTCTATGGCTGTGCCTTTTGCCTATGTTGAAGAGGGTCTCTTCTCTGATCACACAAAGATCTCCATTCACTGAGTACTGGGCTCCCCATAAATCTAAATGACACATGTACATATAAGCTGCCCAGGCAGCGCACCCTCATACTCTGCCATCCACTGCCAAAGACACTCACTCAGAGTGATGTCCTGATAAAGCACAGTCTCAAAGTAGCCTGCAAAGCCATGCAGGACTGTGTTCACCTCCACAGGAAACTCCAAGGTACAATAGCGGTTGTTGTCAATCACAGGATCTGTCAGGAAAGAATTATGTGGCTGACAGGGCCAGAAGCTCTAGACAACTTGGTAAAGCATGAACAAGACCCAAGAAGGAAGCATAGATAAGGCAGACTAAGGACAGCAAGGGAAGAAAGGAGGAAGGAAGAAGCCCACACCCCTCCAGTCAGAGGACAGCCATAAAAGAACCTACCTCTGTTGGGATGGCTGAAGGTGAAACAGGGCTGGGGTGCAGACAGCTGGTGAAAGTTGTGCAGCCGTACCACGTAAGGCATCTCAAACTGTGCCTGTCAGAGAGAAAGAGACAGAGTGTGTGTTGGGGAAGACAGACAAAAGATACCTTCTTCCCCAAGGATTAAAAAAACTTTTACTTTAGCACTTCCCTGATCCCTAACTTCTCCTTTGCCTTTTCTTTCTTTTTTTTTTTTTGAGACGGAGTTTTGCTATTGTTACCCAGGCTGGAGTGCAATGGCGCGATCTTGGCTCACCACAATCTCCGCCTCCTGGGTTCAGGCAATTAATTCTCCTGCCTCAGCCTCCTCCTGAGTAGCTGGGATTACAGGCACGCGCCACCACGCCCAGCTAGTTTTTTGTATTTTTAGTAGAGACGGGGTTTCACCATGTTGACCAGGATGGTCTCGATCTCTTGACCTCGTGATCCACCCGCCTCGGCCTCCCAAAGTGCTGGGATTACAGGCTTGAGCCACCACGCCCGGCCTCCTTTGCCTTTTCATCCCCAGCAGAGAAAAACAATTGATGCAAATACAGAAAAAATAAGAGGACTAAAGAGTACCGCTCTTTCCAGAGAGAGTGGTTCTTTACCTCAGGGTCACGGTCCTTCTCCCTACAGGCTCGGACCTCATTGTACAGTTTGGAGGAGGAGATGGGAGCCAGGAAGGAAGTGTACGCTCCGGGGATGCTCACACCATCATCTGCATAGCAGGAAACTCAAATTAGTTCCAGAGGGAGGGAAATGGTATGTCTGTACTAACCGAAGGATCAAACCTCCCATGTCAAACTGACCAATGTTGGCATGGGCATGGAAGAAAGGCAAAGGCATGTTGTCACATTACTAAGCCAGCCTGCTTCTAGCTACTGTCAGGAAGGATTCTACTTTTAGGTTAATTTACAGAGTCACAGATTAAAACTGAAAGAACCCAAGAGTCTAAACTGGTGGTCCTTAACTTTTGTGGGGTCACAAAGTCCCACAGAAGTTCCTGATGAAAGCTAAGCTCAGGATATATATGTCAGCTCAAGGAGTCCACTCCCCTCAATTTTTTTTATTTTGAGACAAGAGTCTCGCTCTGTTGCCGAGGCTGGAGTGCAGGGGCACTATCTCGGCTCACTGCAACCTTCTCCAGGGTTCAAGAGATTCTTGTGCCTCAACCTCCCAAGTAGCTGGGATTACAGGCACATACCACCACACCTGGCTAATTTTTTTATTTTTAGTAGAGATAGGGTTTTGCCATGTTGCCCAAGCTGGTCTCGAACTCCTGACCTCAAGTGATCCATCCACCTTGGCCTCCCAAAGTGCTGGGATTACAGGTGTGAGCCACCATGCTTGGCCCACTCCCCTCATTTTACAAATATGAACACTAAGGTTTAGAGAGATGGTTTCATTTGCTAAGGGCAGAGGCAGTGGAACAGTAGCTCTCAAACTCATATGATCTGACCCAGGTCCAACCCACTTTCCCCTAAACTCTCTACCCTCCTTCCATGTTGCTGCCTCACCCATCATCACCCTCCACATATACCCCAACCTGGGGGCACCTTTTAGGAAGTGCTGGGCTCCATCCAGGCATTCAGGCGACAACTCATTGTCAGCAAATGAGCCCAGAAGTTCACTGACAATGATGTCTGCTTTCTCTGGAGCCACCCATTCCCTCATGTCTGATGAGACTACGGTCACCTGGCTTCCCCATTCTTCAAACTGCCAGTTCTCTAGCCTGAAACAAAGATAACAAGGTGAGGAGAGATGTTAAGGAAACTTGGCAATGGAGACTAACTTCCCAGCAAGCAGGTTGCTACTCACGTCACCACGGCATTTGGGTTTTTCTCCACAGCGTACAGCTTTATCCGCCGGTCAGCCTGCTTGGCTGCCCGCAGGGAAGCGTTCACCAGGGGACCCCGTCCTGCTCCCAGCACCATCAATACCCTAAGAAAGAAAGGGGAAGAGTCAAACAGACTTGGCATATACAGATGTAGGTACGCAAGTCCCTGGGATTGAGGGGAAGCACTCACTGGACATTGCTATCCTTCTCCTCTTCTGGTACTCGGTCTAGCAGACATTTATAGATGGCCTGGAGGAAGGAGAGAAGATCCCATGGCTGTAATCCCATCCTCCCCGGGTCACGCTGCCCCTGTGCTTTCCTCACCCTGGGCACCACACAGTACCTGCTGGTACTGAGAGTATTTGATGGGGTCCTTTTCAAACACTTCATATGTCTGAGATTCCAGATTGTCCATCAGTGGCTGATAAATGAGGAAAAGGACATCGTTTCTGGCAAAGGACAATGTACTAAAATATCAAAAACTTCACACTGCTTTCTGAGCTTTAGTAAGATTTGGAGGTGTCTACTCTCAAGACACATTTTCCACCCCACCTTCCTCCTCTCAGTGCACTCCAGGCCCACCTGAAGCGGAGACTGCAGATAGTCTTCATAGCCCTTAGCGAAGAGTTCATAGGCATTAGGTGGAGGACGGTTTTGGCTTAAGTATTCCAAGTATTGGAGGTAGGAGCAGAACTCCTTCTCTGAGTGGTGGTTGGTGCCTGTGATGATGAACTGCACCTCCAACTGTAAGAAAAGTCAGACCATCAGACACAGCCCCAAACCAAGATTCTGGAATATTATGGTACATGGCCAAAGATCCCTGGTGTAAAATAAGGCCCAGGGCAACTTTTCTTTTTTTGCCCCCCAAAACCGAGTCTCGCTATGTTGCCCAGGCTGGAGCGCAATGGTGTGATCTCGGCTCACTGCAACTTCCACCTCCCGGGTTCGAGCAATTCTCCTGCCTCAGCCTCCTAAATACCTGGGACTATAGGCCTGTGCCACCAGGCCCGGCTAATTTTTGTATTTTTAGTAGAGACGTGGTTTCACCATGTTGGCCAGGCTGGTCTAAAACTCCTGACCTCAGGTGGCTACTTGCCTCAGCCTCCCAAAGTGCTGGGATTAGAGGCATGAGCCACTGCGCCCAACACAGACCAACAGTTCTCTAGCATCTGTCCCAATACCAACAAAGGCTTCATGCTGGGTGGCGCGGTGGCTCACGCCTGTAATCCCAACACTTTGGGAGGTCGAGGCAGGTGGATCATTTGAGGTCAGTTCAAGACCAACCTGACCAACATGGTGAAACCCGTCTCTAAGAAAAATGCAAAAATTAGCCGAGATTACACCTGTAATCCTAGCTACTCAGGAGGCTAAAGTGGGAGAATTGCTTAAGCGTGGGAGGCAGAGGTTCCGGTGAGCAGAGATCATGCCGCTGCACTCCAGTCTGGGTGACAGAGTAAGACCCTATCTCAAAAAAAAAAAAAAAAAAAAAAAAAAAAAAGAAAGAAAAGAAAAAAAGAAAAACCCCTCTTATGCCATAAATTATCATCAACACTCAAAGAGCCCCATGGATCCTTGCTGTAATTTCCTAAATGAAACCTTCTGCAAAGTTCTCATAAGGTCTGCTTCCTTTTGACATGTTCCTAGGGCTACTACTGTCATTTGTCTTTTGTTCTCAAGACACCCAACTTCACTGAAATTGCTACCCAGAAACCAGAGTCATATTCAGGGTGGGCATGGTGGCTCATGCCTGTAATCCCAGCATTTTGGGAGGCCAGGGTGGGTGGATCACCTGAGGTCAGGAGTTCAAAACCAGCCTGACCAACATGGTGAAACCCTGTCTCTACTAAAAATACCAAAATGAGCCAAGCGTGGTGGCAGGCGCCTGTAATCCCAGCTACTCAGGAGGCTGAGGCAGGAGAATCATTTGAACCCAGGAGGCAGAGGATATAGGTGAGCCAAGATCGCGCCATTGCACTCCAGACTGGGCAACAAGATGGAAACTGCAACACACACACACACACACACACACACACACACACGCACAATCAGCCTCACAGGAAAAAAACAATCGTACACAGGTGAATAAGGCAAGGTGTATAGCTGGACCACCTTTAGAACCCTTCTACCACTCACCTTAAGGAGCCGGAAGATGAGCCTCTGGTGCATCTTAGAAAGAACAGGAAATCCCTTCTTATTGGTCAGGAAAATGCTGGTGGGGAGAATGGCTGCTTTGATGGGCTCCCCAAGCCAGCGATCAATGACATGATTAGATGGGAGGTCAGCCCCAATTTCAAGAGCTACATGAGTGAGGCAAAAGAAAAACTGTCAACCACTGCCAGTCAAGACGCTCTTCGTTGCTCCTTTGTGCAAAATCTGTTTACTTCTTTAAGAGAAAGGCAGTCTGAGATAGTGGGAAAGTAGCAAAATTGTATGCTATACACAAAATTCCTAATTCTTTTTTTTTTTTTTTTTTTTTTTTTTTTGAGACGGAGTTTCGCTCGTTACCCAGGTTGGAGTGCAATGGCGCGATCTCGGCTCACCGCAACCTCCGCCTCCTGGGTTCAGGCAATTCTCCTGCCTCAGCCTCTTAAGTAGCTGGGATTACAGGCACACGCCACCATGCCCAGCTAATTTTTTGCACCTTTAGTAGAGACGGGGTTTCACCATGTTGACCAGGATGGTCTTGATCTCTCGACCTCGTGATCCACCCGCCTCGGCCTCCCAAAGTGCTGGGATTACAAGCTTGAGCCACCGCGCCCGGCCCAAAATTCCTAATTCTTATTCACAGGACAGAGAAGTGACACCCATCCCAGGATCCTCATGGACTCACCTACTGCAATCCTCTTGCTGTAGTCACACAAAGTCCGGAAGTTGTGCCACCTGTTCAGAGTCCAATACAGAAAAGTACAGTCAACTACATATGGCCAACCTATCACCATAGCTCAAGGAGACCTCCCTACAGGTTCCGCTCTGTACTTCCCCTCACCCTATCCCTTGCACCCTGGTATAGCAGCAAACAGAGACATACCACATCCATGTCTTCTCCTCCCCACTGTACTCCTGTGTGTGTGTAATTGGTGCATTCTCAATTATATCATCTCTCAGGTCTTCTGGTGCCACCAATGGTACCCGCATCCAGAACTGCACATAAACATTCACCCTTTTAGAACTCTCTTTTGAACTGATTGGGTCCAGAGTTTCCCTCAATTAAAAAAATCTTCATCCAGACCTCGTTAATCCCTTTATATGCTTTTCCCAATTTGTGATTTTGTAAATGAATGTGTACCTTAGTATAGATCCTTATGTAAATATCTGCCTTGTCTCATGTAAGTTTCTAAAATAATTACATGCTCTGAAACTCTCTTCATACCACTTTTAGATGGGGCAGGGCAACCTCACCTTTTTTTGGGGGACAAAGTCTGGCTCTGTCACCCAGACTGGAGTGCAATGGTACAATTTCAGCTCACTGTAACTTCCGCCTCACAGGTTCAAGTCATCCTCCCACTTCAGCCTCCCAAGTAGCTGGGACGACAGGTGCGTGACACCACACCTGGCTAATTTGCGTTGTGTTGTGTGTGTGTGTGTGTGTGTGTGTGTGTTTTTGTAGAGACAGGGTTTCACTATGTTGCCCAGGCTGGTCTTGAACTCCTGAGCTCAGCAATCTGCCCATCTCAGCCTCCCAAGTGGGATTACAGGCATGAGCCACTATGCCTGGCAATACTTATATTTAAATTCTGCCAAACACAACCTTCACTGAATTGCTAGGCACAAAAAGGCACTTAACACAATCTGACTACCATGATATGCAGCAGGAAAAGAGCCTCTCAGCTATACCATGGAAGAGTGGTGGCCAGTGTGGATGTGGTTGGTCAAAACTCTGGCCAGGTTGGTGTTATCTTCCTGATTAAGGGGCAGCAGGAAAGCTGGAAGACCCAAATATGCACCAAAATTCAGCTCCTGTAACATGGCCTGAAATGGAGATAAAGAGGAAAAGGTTGAGCTAACAAGCAAATAGCTTTCTTTTCTTTCTTTCTTTTTGAGACAAAGTTTCACTCTGTCACCCAGGCTGGAGTGCAGTGGCACAATCTCGATTCACTGCAGCCTTGATCTCCCCAAGCTCAATTCATCCTCCTACCTCAGCCTCCTGAGTAGCTGGGACCACAGGCATGCACCACCATGCCTGGCTAAGTTTTTTTTTTTTTTTTTTTTTTTTGAGACGGAGTTTCGCTCTTGTTACCCAGGCTGGAGTGCAATGGCGCGATCTCGGCTCACCGCAACCTCCGCCTCCTGGTTTCAGGCAATTCTCCTGCCTCAGCCTCCTGAGTAGCTGGGATTACAGGCACGCACTACCATGCCCAGCTAATTTTTTTGTATTTTTAGTAGAGACGGGGTTTCACCATGTTGACCGGGATGGTCTCGATCTCTTGACCTTGTGATCCACCCGCCTCGGCCTCCCAAAGTGCTGGGATTACAGGCTTGAGCCACCGCGCCCGGCCCAGTTTTGTATTTTTTATAGATATGGAGTTTCACTATGCTGCCCAGGCTGGTCTCAAAGTCCTGAGCTCCAGTGATCCTATAGCCTCAGCCTCCCATAGTGCTAGGATTATAGATGTGCATCACTGCTCCTGGCCTAATAGCTTTAATTTCATTGTTTCAATTGATTTACCAAGTTATTGGGGATGGGAGGGGGCCACTCTCCCCACCCAGCTTGGTTACAGACCTAATCTTTAGAAAGATCTAGCAAAGAAGTCAAACAGTCTTACCGCCTCGGAGTTCCTGCGGATCTTCTCCACTTTTGAGTCTGGACGAATCCATGGAGAAAGCTTTCCCACAATTAGCGTATTCCAGTCTGTACTCCCCCACCCAAGAAAGACAAATACTGAATAAGGTTCAGCACTTTACTTGTTCAATTTTTAGTTTTTAGTAGGAACTCAAGAGTAGAAATGAGAGACAAAGGTTTTTTTTCTACATAGATGCGGGATAGCCTGGTGCAGAATAGAGAAGGAAGGAGAAAACAAGTTATCTATATCCCAGGGACTAACAAATATATCCAAGTTAGAAAAGGAGGAGAATGAGGGCCCCGATAAAGCAGAAGTTGTTATTGCCTCTAATAATTAAGGGGCATATGGGATGGTCCCTACCCCTTCCTGACAGCAGTAGGTCTGATCGTGTCTGGGGGCCAGGCCGATTCTTAGCAGGTTCCTGAATGAACTCCCTCTTGAAACGCGGATGGAAGACAGGCATGCAGAGGAAATCAAACCTACAACCGCGACAGACCCAGAATCATGTAAAGAGAGCAGCAGTGCCAGAGAGCCAAGCAACTGGATTTAGGCTATCTTGATTTTCCACAGCCCATTCAGCTGCCATCAGTTCACCCCACTAGGCTGCTGAGTTTAGACCACCTTGGGGGATATCACTTCTGCTGTACTGTGCCTCAATTTCTCCCCAAAACACAGCCATGGAAAATTTAAGGAGAAAACGATGGAAATCCACAAGCAGAATTTTTTTCTCAAGTGTCACTGTCTTTCCAAGATCCTCACATCCTGATTTGTCCCAGTTCCGCCCACGCCTCCCCCGTCAAAATTAGCCTCTTCTCTCCCTTGCCCCCTAAAACCTCCTCCCACTCCCAGACAATAATCGCGACCTCCAGGGCCCTTTTGAGTTTACTCGACAACTCCCCCAACTTTTGGACTCAGTGACCGCAGGCCCCTCATAAGTTCTTTTCCTCACTTTCCTGGGTCCGAGGATCCTCCCCTCCAAAGAGTAATAGTCTCTCCCGCCCTCATCCTAGCCGACCCCCTCACCCCTGCTTCTCCGGGATGACTAGTTTGCCCTTCTCCGTCCCCGAGTTCGGACCCAGCATTCCGCTCGTGGAGATCCGGCCCTCACCCCTGCTTGGCCACAGCCCCTAGTGTGTCAGCTATTTCGGGGACGCAATTCAGGTCCCTCCCGCTGGACACGCGGCTCCCACCAGCACCCCCGACCGCCATCGCCGCCATCTTTTTCCTCGCGCTGTCCACGCCGGGATTCCTTGATACTAGTAGCCAATCACAAAGCCGAACCAGAGCCTCCCTCCCCCACTCAGAAGGCGGGACAAGTCGCCTTAACAACCAGAGCGTCTGCCACCGCTCCTGAAAGGGAGAGAAGGAGAGTGGCTTTTCCCGCCAATCCGCGGGCTGCACAGTGGCGTACGGCGTGGCTCCTGCAGATCCACCAATCTCAGGGTCTGGTTCCTGATAAACTTCAATCTCCCAGAATGCTTAGTGCAGCTCCCCAATACAGCTGGGAAACTACACCTCCCATCAAACCCTGCAGTATAACCGTGAAGTAACAGCATGGAGACCAACGCAAGCATCCCGGGGCCAGTGGCGCAATGGATAACGCGTCTGACTACGGATCAGAAGATTCCAGGTTCGACTCCTGGCTGGCTCGGTGGGACTACCCTTCATTTTGCTACCTGAGCATTTTCTAATTTCCCTTTCATATCTCAGGTTGAAGCTTTTTAAAAATTATCTTCACTCTTTCATTTTCAGGTCCTAGGTTGGCTGGGTTCCGCTGTCATCTAATGTCACGTTTTCCCGTAACTACCTTCAGAGTTGTTTTTCTTGTGTCAATTGAGAAAACTGGATTAATGGCTGGTGCTATTAAAATGGGCTTTGTCACTTTACAATGCTACATATTAAAATAAACTGGTAATTCAGCTACTACTTCCTAGTGATTCTCTGTTTCAAACACAAAAGGTGTAAATAAACGCCTAAACACACACACACCTCAAGATGGAGAAAAGGAATTCACCGTAAAGAATTTCAGTGGGCAGCAGTCATGAAATTGCCAGGCGTGGAGGCCCGAGAGAATCTACATTTTCCCATGTCAGTAGCTGCTAGAGAGATTGAAAGGAAGGAAGCAAGGAAAGGCATAGGGAGGGAAATGGGAACTCCTGAAGGCAGAGGGCTCACTGGTGTTGAGGGCCTGGCAGCAAGGATGAAGAAGAGAACACGATACAAGAGTCCGGCCCCACGCAGGCGCCGCTGGCAGAACTTAGGGAAGAAAAGACAGGGGTGATGCCTAAGATTTCGTCTATGCAGTGGGCTAGAAATGAGAGAAGCAGGTTTAGGAAGTCAAGGTTTGGGTTTGGTCATGCTGAATTAAACGTCTAGGGGGCGCTGTGTAATAGAAAGTTGGATGAATAGTGATCTGAACCAGATGAGATGGAGGTCGCCAGAAGAAAGGAACTGAAGCCATGAGATTTGAGATCACCATCGCTCGTGGGGGACAGAGCCATAGGAAATACGGAAAGGCTGTGGGATAGGATAAGTTCTGGGGAACCCTGGATGCAATGCAAGTGCTTCAAAAGAATGAAAGTCGGAAAACCAAAGAACTAAAAAAATGCACCGTGAAACCTGAAGGGGTTGGAGGTGCTTTTGTCCACGATTATCATTACTATTACTATTACCAGCAGACTTTTTTCTGTTCCAGGATCCCATGTATCATATGACATTTCGTTGCTATGTCTCCTTAGGCTCCTCTTGGCTATGTTACTTTCTCAGATGGTCCTTGTTTTTGATGACCTTGGTAATTTTGAGGAGTACTGCTTAGGTATATTGTAGGATGCCCCGCTACTGGAATTTGTCTGTTTTTCTCATGAGTAGACTGGGGTTGTGTTTTGGGAAGGAAGATCACAGAGTTAAAGTGCTATTTTTGCCAGGTGCGGTGGCTCATGCCCATAATCCTAACACTTTGGGAGGCCGAGGCAGGTGGATCACCTGAGGTCAGAAATTCAAGACCAGCCTGGCCAACATGGTGAAAACCCGTCTCTACTAAAAATACAAAAATGAGCTGGGCTTGGTGGGGTTTGCCTGTAATACCAGCTACTTGGAGGCTGAGGCAGGAGAATCACTTGAACGAGGGAAGCAGAGGCTGCAGCGAGCAGAGATCACACCACTGCACTCCAGCCTGGGCAACAGAGTGCGACTCTGCCTCAAAAAAAAAAAAAAAAAAAAAAAAAAAGTGCTATTTTAATCACATCATATCAAGCGTACATACTATCAACATGATTTATGATTTGATGTTGATATTGATCATCTGGCAAGAAGTTTATCCAGCTTCACCACTGTTAAGTGATTCTCTCCCACCCTCTCTCTGGCCCCAACTTTCCATACTGTATTTCATTGGAAAGAAGTCACTATGCTCCCCCTCCTTAGAATTGGGAGTATCTACAGAATTTATTTGGAATTCTTCCCTCCAGGTCTTTTCAGTAAGTGGTTGTTCTCAGCGAGTGGGTGAGTACTCCACCAGCATTTTATGTGTATTATATTTTATTTTATTTTGAGATGGAGTCTTGCTCTATAGCCCAGGCTGGAGTGCAGTGACACAATCTCGGCTCACTGCAACCTCCACTTCCTGGGTACAAGTAATTCTCCTGCCTCAGCCTCCCGAGTAGTTGGCATCACTGTGCAACACCACACACAGCTAATTTTTGTTTTTTTTTTGTTTTTTTGTTTTTTTTAGACGGAGTTTCGCTCTTGTTACCCAGGCTGGAGTGCAATGGCGCAATCTCGGCTCACCACAACCTCCGCCTCCTGGGTTCAGGCAATTCTCCTGCCTCAGCCTTCTGAGTAGCTGGGATTACAGGCACGCGCCACCATGCCCAGCTAATTTTTTGTATTTTTAGTAGAGATGGGGTTTCATCATGTTGGCCAGGCTGGTTGCAAACTCCTGACCTCAGGTGATCCATCTCAGCCTCCCAAAGCATTGGGATTAAAGGCGTGAGCCATGACGCCCAGCCTCCACCAGCATTTTAAGAGGTAAAAGAAAGAGTTGTTGGCTGGGCACGGTGGCTCAAGCCTGTAATCCCAGCACTTTGGGAGTCCGAGGCAGGTGGATCACGAGGTCAAGAGATTGAGACCATCCTGGTCAACATGGTGAAACCCCGTCTCTACTAAAAATACAAAAAGTTAGCTGGGCATGGTGGCGCGTGCCTGTAATCCGAGCTACTCAGGAGGCTGAGGCAGGAGAATTGCCTGAACCCAAGAGGCGGAGGTTGTGGTGAGCCGAGATCACGCCATTGCACTCCAGCCTGGGTAATAAGAGCAAAACTCTGTCTCAAAAAAAAGAAAAAAAAAAAAAAAAAAGAAAGAGTTGTTGAGGAGGTCTGCTTGTTCTCTGCCCTACCTGTGCCCAACTAAACTCTACATTCACAGAAGACTTATTAGATGCTTTCTTCTTTAGAAGCTAATTGTCTAGATTGTGGACTATCTGTGCTCCTGGCATCTCACTCCTGATGTCAAGCTGGTAGCTGATGTTGGTTGCTAACTAAACTATCATGGGTGAAAGGGAGAGAAGACAATCTATGAAACAATAATGTCAGTTCTGCCATCAGCTAAAATAATTTTCTAGAGGATTCATGTACAAAGAGCATAGAATTTCTGACTGCAGTAAGTTTACATGGGCTGACTTTCTTTGTTCTGTGTTGTCTTTGTCTTTTCATTCCAAATGGCCTCAGCATTGTGGCTAGCATCATGCTGAACACTTCTCAGTAATTCCATACCACGTTGCTCTCCACTTTTCCTATAGCATTTTCCTGTGCCATAAAACACAGCATGTTGGCTGGGCGTGGTGACTCACACATGTAATCCCACCACTTTGGGAGGCCAAAGCAGGCAGATTACGAGGTTAGGAGATCGAGACCGTCCTGGCTAACATGGGGAAACCCTGTCTTTACTAAAAATACAAGAAATTAGCCAGGTGTGGTGGTGGTGAGCATCTGTAATCCCAGCTAATGGGGAGGCTGAGGCAGGAGAATTGCTTGAACCCGGGAGGCGGAGGTTGCAGTGAGCCGAGATCAAACCACTGCACTCCAGCCTGAGTGACACAGTGAGACTCCATCTCAAAAACACCACCAACACAGTGTGTAACCGTAGGTCTGTCTACATGAGTTGTAGAGAAGCAGGAAGGGAAGGAATGAAAAGTAGAGCAGTGTGAACACATCCTGTCTCTAGGCATTAAGTCAAAGTTGAAGTCTACCTTATGCTATGCTTTGCTCTGCTCTGCATACTGAGCTTTTGGGACCAGAAGTATGTGAATTACTGTAATACTATGGGACTTTTGCCTCGGCTGAGGTGAATGAAGATAGGGAAATGGTGGGACAGAAGGGCAAATATGCTGGGTGAGAAATAATGTTACTTTCTCCAACAGGCGCCAATGACCAACAGGCTGGAACACTGGAGACTTTCTGGAAAGGGGTACCCACCCTCAGATAATGCTGCCACCTATCCCCCCACTCCAGCATTCCTCACTTTCAGGCCCAATTCTTCCACCTTATCTTGTTTTTTTGTCCTTGTTTAAACACCTCTAGCCCATTGGAAAACACTTTTCATCTTCGTCCCCTCCTCCCTCAGCGCTTGCTTCCCTCCCCAGGCCCACCTTCACTCACCTCTGTGCCTGCCCAGCCAGCCACACTCTTCAACACCAAAATAATGGCCCATTTGACCCTCCTACTGCTCCAGATTGCTTCTTCACAATCAAGGCTGTCCTCCAGCTATAAAAGTGGCAGAGTTACTGAGGCAAAATAATCTGTGCCAATTTGCATTATCTTTTTTGTCATCTCTATTATACAGTGTTTATCTGTCAAAATGAATAGAAAGCAGGAACTGTTCTGAACACAGAAAAAGATGGAAAACTACCCAATTTATTTATGAAGACTGAACACATCTAATATCAAAACCTGTCAGAAATTATACCCCCAAAAAGCTATACAGCCTCACTTATGGATATAAATGTAAGATTCCTAAAATATTTAGGATTAATAAATAAAACTTAACAGTATGTTAACACAGTAATTATATAAACCTAATTTATATTAACCACCTAGGGTTTATCCCAATAACTAACACAAAGGTATTAGGAAATTTCTTTATAGAATAGATAAAAAATAAACCAAACAAAAAATATTTGATGGTTGTTAATTGTCAAAGAAGAGAATACAGTAAGCTAACTGCATTTTCTGTAAATATTCTTTTTTATTTTTTTGAGAAGGAGTCTCACTTTGTCACCCAGGCTGGAGTGCAGTGGCATGATCTCGGCTCACTGCAACCTCCACCTCCCAGGTTCAAGTGATTCTCCTGCCTCAGCCTCCCAAGTAGCTAGGACTTCAGG